AATAGAGCTTGAAGTCAGGGATGGTGATGCCTCCAGAAGTTCCTTTATTGTACAGTGTTGTTTTGGCTATCCTGGGTCTTTTGTTTCTCCATATAAAGCTGAGAAGTGTTCTTTCTTATGTTGTTTGTGGCAATTCTAAAGGTTGATATTTCTCTGATTTCTTTCTCCACCAATGTGTCATCTGTATATAGTAGGGCTACAGATACTTTTGAGTTAATCTTGTATCCTGCCACTTTGCTGAAGGTGTTTATCAGCTGTACGATTTCCCTGATAGAGTTTTTCAGGTCACTAATGTAGACTATCATATCATCTGCAAATAGTGAAAGTTTGATTTCTTCCTCACCAATTTGTGTTCTCTTGATCTCCTTTTGTTGTCTTATTGCTCTAGCTAGAACTTCAAGGACAATATTGAAGAGGTATGGAGAGAGTAGACAGCGTTGTCTTGTCCCTGATTATAGAGGAATTGCATTGAGTTTCATTGAGTTTCTCTCCATTTAATTTGATGTTGGCTGCCGGCTTGCTGTATATTGCTTTTATTATGTTGAGGTATGTTCCTGTTATTCCTGATTTCTCCAAGACCTTTATCATGAAGGGGTATTGGATTTTGCCAAAGGCTTTTTTGGCATCTAGTGAGATGATACTGTGTTTTTTCCCTCAGTTTGTTTATATGGTGGATTCCATTGATGGATTTTTCGAATGTTGAACCATCCTTGCATCCCTGGGATGAAGCCTACTTGATCTTGGTGGATGATTTCTCTGATGTGTTCTTGGATTCAATTTGTCAGCATTTTACTTAGTATTTTTACATCAATGTTCATAAGGGATATTTGTCTGTAGTTCTCTTTCTTAGTTATGTCTTTGTGTGCCTTGGGTACCAAGGTTATTGAAGTCTCATAAAAGGAGTTCAGCAATGACCTTTCTGCTTCTATTGTGTGGAATACTTTGAGTAGAACTGGCATTAGCTGTTCCTTGAATTTTTGGTAGAATTCTGTACTGAAGCATCTGGCCCTGGGCTTTTTTCTTTTTTGCTTGGGAGACTTTTGATGACTGCTTCTATTTCATTAGGGGTTATAGGTCTATTTAAGTTGCTTATCTGTTCTTGATTTAATTTTGGTAAGTGACATATGTAGAAAATTGTCCATTTCCTCTAGAGTTTTGAATTTTGAGGAATATAGTCCTACCTGAAACCCAAAACAGCCCCTGGCCTACCTGGGCCGATGGATGGAGGCAGAACTGCCACCAGGGCCTCGGTAGTGTTAGGGTGTGTTGGATCCTGCTGCCAAGCTTGGATCCGGTGAGCAAACTCCTGGTCTTAGATGCCTCCTAGCAGGGTCCCTCGAGCTTCTGTTCTTACTCAACTCAATCACTCAATTTTCTTTATGTTTCTCCAATACATCAGAACTAATGTTTAACTTCTAGGACTCACATTGTCAATATAATAATGTAGACGAAAACTAGTGGATGAATGATCCAAGAAGGAAGGACAAATTAATTCTACAGATAGCAACACAGAGAGGGGGTGTGGGTGCTGTATGAGAAAAGTGAGAAACAGAAATCTGGTAGCAGAGAATCTGTACAAGTTACTGTTCCGTGGCTCTGACTGTACACAGGAAGCTGTGTGTGTGTGTGTGTGTGTGTGTGTGTGTGTGTGTGTGTTCTCATTTAAGAAGGGATGCAATTCAGCAAAGCAGGAAATGCATGACAACAGGAGCATGGGTCAGCTGGTTATACTGCAGTCAGGAACAGAGCAACAACAGGGAGTGAGGCTGGACCCTAAATCTCCAAGGTCTGCATCCAATGACACACTTCCTCAAGTGATGATTTGCCTCCTGAAGGTGCCACATAACTTTATAAAAACAGTGCCATCTGCTGCTGGGGACTGAGTTTTCAAACACAGTCTTGGGGACATTCTACATCCAACCTATGACAAGATTGTTTATGCCAGCGAGAATCACACCAAACACCACACATTTTGACAATATGTACTTGCATAAGGACATTATTCAAATACAGAGGAGCAGTAGGAACAAGAAGAGTGTGTCAAAAGAGAAAGGCTGTCTTGGAAAACTCTTGAGGTGGTTCCTGTTAGCTCTCTCTGGTTTTTAGTTGCATAGCATAAATTGCTATATGGCATTTTCAAATATATTATTACTTTATATACAGCTTATTGTTTGGTTCTCCTATAGAATAGGAACTGTAGTGATTCAGAGACTTGGTTTGGTTCATGACCTAGTATAGGTCAGATGCTTGGCATGTAGTTAGCATTCTGCCCTTGCAATTGTCAGCAAATGGATAAATTTATTCTCCTAATGGCCATAGGAAGGGAAGGGAAAATAATGTAATGTGTACCAAATGAAAGACCTAATGAGTGCCAAGTTTAGGGTTTTAATGAAGATTTCTAGTTCAAGTCAAAGTCCATTTCCATTACATCACAGATATCACCCTAGTCTGTTTATTTAAGTTTGAAAATCTGTTTACTTAAGTGCCATGGTTGACAGGAGGACCTACAATTTTCTCAACCCAATATAATTTCTAGATGCTTTCTAAATACTTATTATTACGTCTATAAATAGGCATGGATGTAATAATCTTTCATTGAGGGGGCTTCTCTTTTCAGCAGGTAGAAGCTACCACAGAGATCTACAACTAGCTGAACTTCAGAGAATTAGTGATTATGGGGTGTCAAACTCCATTTGGTACATCTACAGTACAACCCTTACACCTAAAGCTCAGGAAGCATCATATAAGAGGGGGTGAAAATATTCTAAGAGCCAGAGGACCAGGACACCTGCTGTAAGATGTTGTCTCATGAACATGGCATGGAAGTTGTACCCACGAAATCTCAACAATATGAATACCTAAACAAAACCTTCATAACGACACATCAGTTGGCATGCCAATGTGAATGGGGAAAATTTCACAGGGCCCCAGGCCTAGATGAAGAGCTACAGACAGTCAATATCTGCTGAGAGCAGAAAACTTCACTTTTATCCTGACTAAGTGATCAACCCTAAACACATTTATGTAAGAGCAACACTAAAGGGGCTCAATAGGTTGTATAATGCACATATACTTATATATGTACATATGTGTGTAACAATAATAATTATGAAAGAGGCCATGAACTTGAAAGGGAATGGGGCATGGGTAGACTTAGAGAGGTAAGGGGGAGAGGTGGGAATTATAAATATAGTACACATGTATAAAATTCTAAAAAAACTAAAAATAATTAAATTAAGATTCAATAAAAAATATCTCAAGCCAGTAAGGTGGCTCAGCAGGTAAAGCCACTTGCCACCAAGTTTGACAATCTGGTTTGATCCCCTTGGTCCACATGGTGGAAAGAGGGAACCAAATCCTCAAAGTTGACCTGTGACATCACACACACAGTTCTGTAGTATGCACACACACACACACACACACACACACACACACACACACACAGAGAGAGAGAGAGAGAGAGAGAGAGAGAGAGAGAGAGAGAGAGAGAGAGAGAGAAAGAGAGAATAAATAATTTAAATGTAATTTTAAAAAATCTCACATATTCAATACAACAATCAGCTGTGTTCAACCTACAGAGAAGAAATGCAGGATTTCCTCCAAGAACTTAACTATGTTACTAAGATGTTCTATCAAACAGTTTTGAAAAGACAATTCTTGCAGATGTAGACACACCAGGGATTCTCCTGCTAATGTTATTGGGGAAAGTATTAGTCATTGGAGAGGTGGGCAGACAGCTCTTCGAGGCTGAATGGCATTTGATTACTGACATTTTCAAATCCTTGATATTTCGATCTTTTCCCATGTAAATCACAGCTTCCTGGTTTATGGTAATTTAATTAGGAGAAGGTTGTTAATAGTCCTAATTAAGGCAGATATACATTGTTCTTGAGAAAACAGTACAGAAGAGGTCCTTAATTAAGTTAGGGGACATGCCTTCTGGATGTGTTGCCCACTGAACGTGGACAGTTCAGAGTCAGGGAACTTCAGCTTCAGAGATAGCATTCTTCAGCACTGCCTCTGTTATAATTTGCATAACTGTGCTTTCCATAGAGGTTCATTGGATGAACCCCAAATTTTTCATAAAGGGGACATAGACTGTCACAACTGACCCAAGAATAACAAACCACTGACTAGTGAGTGATAGCCAGGATCCATATCTACATGAACGTGTCTGCAAACTCAGAGAAACTTAGACTTTTTACTTTGGATGATCTGCCCTTATCCAGATGCTCATTTCTGATTTTGTTTATAAATAGTCTCATGATGTGGTTGTGATGTTTCTTTTCTCTTCATCACTGACAGGTCACTGTTGACATTGAAGACGAGAATGATGAAACACCCGTCTGCACACCCTATCTCTATAAGGCAGTCATCTCTGATGGTGTTGTTGCTGGGACAAATGTCAATGGCCTCAAATTAAACTGTCACGACAGAGATTCACGTGATTTTGAAATGCGCTTTGAAATAGCTTCTGGTGGATATTTTAATTATTTCTTTTAATCACAAACATATGTCAAGTTGACACTAGCTATACAATGTCATACATGATATGTAACACTAGAAGTGACTGTTTATAGAAGTTACACTATTTCATAGTTGTTTCCTTAAGGTACTCCTTCATATCTACAGATGAGACTCAATTATTTTGTGACTTCTGGACTTGGAAAAATGCTATCGGCTTAAGTATAAGGAATTAAGTTTGTTATCCATGGAGCTCCCTGACAACAGAACCCATCTTTCCATCTGATGCTGCTGCTACAAGTTCACAAGGCTAGATGGGTTTGACTCTATTGCTGGCTCTATGGAGATTCACATAAATGTTATAGTCACCAACTTGTCATCCATAGGAGATCTTCCTTTATTTGAGACCAGCCAAGTATCAGACACTATTCCTAGAAATTATTATACAGACCATCTAAGATAGATGTGGAACACATTCATGGCACTCAATTCATTTAGCTTGGTACTGTCAACACATAAAATTATAAACCAAGAGAAAGTCTAGACAGGGGAGCACTGTCTTGACATTCATCTTGACTGTGACAGTAAGACTTTTTCATATGTCTCAGACCTGCTGCGGCTGCTCATCTGAAAGGATGGGAGTATGGATATACTATTTAATTATGAAGACTAGGTTGATATTTATACACAATTGCTAGGTTCATCTTGTTTATAATAGTGTGTTCTAGGCCCTGAAGAGGATATAACTTCTTGAGGATGTAATTGGTACTGTGATTTGACTGGCTCATTTGATATTAGTCTGGCACAGTGTTTCTCAACCTGCTTAATGCTGTAACACTTTAATACAGTTCCTCATGTTGTGGTGACCTGAACCATGAAATTATTTTCATTGTTTCTTTATAACTGTAATTTTGCTACTGTTATGAATCATAATGTAAATATCTGTGTTTTCCAATGGTTTTAGGTGACACCTGTGAAAGTGTCATTTGACCCAAAAAGGGTCATGATACACAAGTTGAGATCCACTGGTCTAGACTAAGTTGACTAGACAGTCAAATAAAGGAAGAGGAAATAGGCAGAGTAATCAGAAAGTAGCATGAGATTTGCCGGCCACATGTGAGGGTTAGAATTATGATCTTAACCTTTAAAACATTTTTGTTTTGTTCTTTTCTTTCTTTCTTTTTTTGGGTGGTGGTGGTGAACAGGGACTTTCATAGACCAGGTTAGCCTTGAACTTTCTATGCAGCCAAGGATGACCTTGAACTCTTTTTTAGGCATCAACTATGCCATTTATTCAATCATATTTGTAATAATGTTGTTGCTTGGTATAATTAATAATTTATTGGAATGTGATGAATAAATTTATTTTCTTAATTTTTTTTCATTTTGCACACTAACCGAGTTCCCCACCTCCATTTTTCCCACCTGCATCTTCCCTCTTCCCATCCCCTATTCACTCCTCAGAGGGGGTAAGGCTTTCTTTCCTTCAGGAGTCAACAAAGTCTGGCATACCCAGCTGAGGCAGGACCAAGCCCCATGACCTTGAACTGGTGATCCTTCTGCCTCTCCTTGCCAAGTGCTGGGATTACAGGCTTACCCCAACATGCCTAGTTTAAAACACCTTTTCCCTAATGCATTGATTATTCTGTTTCAACTTTATTATAAGCTATTTATAGATATGTAAATTTACAGTATAACACAAATTTTAATCTATGTACACATTCTGTGTTTTAACATCATTTAAAGGTAGCTTGAGACCATTTTATGTATTGTAAAATAATTTTAACTTTCCCATTATTCCTCTTAAAGGAAATGAAAACCTTCATTTCAAATTAGATCCAAGTCGGGGCACAAATACTCCAAAGTTAATTGTGAAGAATCCTTTCAACTTTGAATCTGGAGCTGACCTGCAGCAGCAATACCATCTTGTGGTGCATGTAATTGATGACAACCTGAAGTCTGGCAAAGCCATCAAACCCAAGACAGGAACTGCTGTCATAGATATTTATGTGCAAAGAATCAGCACTCTACCTCCTCCAACCAGTTCTGAAGTAAAGAATTGCAGAATTTAATTTGAATCCTCGATGTTGTAATTATTTTTACTGCAAAGTCAAATATCAGCCAGAAATGCTAAGAGTGACCAGACCATTACTGTCCTTTATATGCCTTTAGACTTTTTCACAAACCCAAACTCTCTTAGACACTGTGCATCTATAAATAAATACCATGTGCACAAGAATTAGTGAAAATTACACATACATATGTAGAGGATCACTAAGCTGCCTGTAGAGGTCTCCCAAACTTCTGGCTAAACAATATGAAGGTCTTGCTCAATAGAAGGGAGTACTATTCATTGAATTAGAGCCATTAAACACCTCTACAAATGGCCATTTTAAAAGACTATGCTATCACTGGGTGGTGGTGGCACACACCTTTAATCTCAGCACTTGAGAGGCAGAGGCAGGTGGATCTCTGTGAGTCTGAGGCCATCCTGGTCTACAAAGCTACACAGAGAAACCCTGTTTCAAAAAAAACCCACAAAACTATGCTATCATAATAATGGACATCTATGAAGTGCCAGGAATCACACTGTATGCCTTATAGCCACCATTTCATCTCATCTTCAGTTCAACTCTACAACATTAGCAGATCTTTTAATATTTTTCATTTATAAAGCAGACATGGGAAACCTCTGCTGAATTATATAATGGCTTATCAGCCACTCAAGGATGAAGGTTCCTGCTCAGTAGACTTTATGGTATTTCTTATTGTTTTGTGGACTTTAAAATACAAATTGAAAAGTCTTTTTCTTTGAGTATTTGATATTCAAGAGTGTACTGTTTAATCAAACTACACAAAAGGGAGTAAAGAACAGGAGCATACAGTCAAAAAGGACCTCAGATATCATCTTGATAGGGATGTCCTTCTGTATATATGTTTCTTTTATTGGTTGATGAATAAAACCTTGTTTGGCCAATAGCCAAGCAGGAAGCATAGGCAGGGCTACCAGACCAGGAGAGGCCTGGGGAGAGGAAGGCAGAAAGGAGAAGCCATGTAGCCGAGGAAGGAGTAACAGGTCTTCACCCTTCTCCAGTAAGATAAGACCACGTGGAAATACTTAGATTAATAGAAATGGTTAATAATTAAGACAGAGCCAGCCAGTAAGAAACCCTAGCCATTAGCCAACAGTTTAATAATTAAATGTCTCTGTGTGTTTATTGGGGCTGAAGGGCAGCAGGGCCTGGTGGGATAGAAACCTCTATCTTCATTATCTAGTTCAACCTCTCAGTGTTATAGATCAAAGGACTGAGGTGGATCATGGAGTGGCCATTTTGTGCAACTCTATTCTCTACATTCTGAATTTGGTGGCTCTTTTGTGTCATCATGTTTCTCATTGTTCCTGCGTACTCACAAATATGTATGAATCTGGATCCCACTGTCTGTTAAGATGGTAGTTCTATACTGATGTTGCATCACATAAACAAATGTGCTTTGAAAACAGGGACTAACACTCTGTTTGCTTTGAAATAATTTTCCAGCAAAGGAAAGGTCTGACCATTGTGTACACAGCTATCAACACATACAAAAACAGCGACTGGTACGTTCCTTTCATCTTCACTCTGATGGCTGTTTTCTTTGCTGGATTGGTTTTCTGGATGTGTTTTCTGCTTTGGAGATATGGAAACATTAAAAACTGCTCTCTGAAAATGACCAAGGAAGACTCCAAATTGAAACCCAAGTATGTGATTTTTTTTCTAAGCTTTCGGTATAAAAATTTAAAATTAATTAAAGTTTGGTAATCATAGCTATCAGCGATTCTGCCTAAGTGTACATAAGAGAGACAAAATCCTGGGGATACAAAACTCAGTGATCACTTTTACCAGAGTCCAAACCCACTTTCTCCTTGAACTAGTTGGGAGACTTTCTTTAGTAAATGGCAATGTTCCTAGGAGACAAGGTAAACTCCCTGATCCCCGGTTCTTTCACCCCCTCTTCCACAATGAATGTGAGTGCAGGAGTTGCATTATAGATGTATCAGTTGGAAATGGAGCACACAATGCTGCATTTTGATTGGTTGTGGTTTTCTGTATTGGTCTTTCTGTGTTGCAGAGAGCTGTTTCCTTTATTAGTGGTGAGGACTTCACTTATCTATGGGTATTAGATCAAATATTCAGATATAGTTAGTGATTACACTGGCCTACTAAAGCGCAGGTTCCTGAGCTGAACAGAAACATGAAAATATAGATGGGGGTGGTACAGAAATTCAGGAGGCCTCAGCCCTATGCAAAGAACTACAGGCAACTAAGGAAGGCCAAGAGCAGGAGAAATACTCCCCCATGAACAGCAGGTTGATTGGTTATCCAATACCAAATGGTTAACCCTGAAAACACATGCATACAACTATCATTTTACATACTGAGCAGGTACACCACACACACACACACACACACACACACACACACACACACACACACCACTGTACTTTCATGCAGGTAACACACACACTATAGAGTATAGAGTTCTAGTTGCATTTTGGTTAACTGCATAGGATTTCTTTTTAATGGTGCAGTAAAGCAGATAGAAATAGCTAATAAAAACCACATTATTGCTTCTTTTTTTAAAAAAAAAACTAGTTGTGATACAGTCACATGTTAACTATTGAATGAAATTATTTCCAACATATTGTCATAATTTAATTGTTGCTTTGTCAAATTTTCTTTTCTTTTTTTTTTTTTACAGAGGAGTGAAGTATGTTGTAGGTAAGATATGATTTGCTGATTATGCTTGAATGGTATGATTTTAAAATTACATATATTTTAAAAATTACATATATTTGCTTTAATACAGTATTTTCTTGACTTTTTGAGAATTTCTTGGAATGTATTTTGATCTTAGTAATCTTCATTCTTCCTCGTGAAGTATTTCAGATTCACCCTCCGACCTGTCTACTACTTCATGTCACCACTTTATGTCCTCCGAGAATGGCTGACCTATCAGAAACAACAATCTTAAAAAAGAAAACAACAACTACAACAACAATACATGGGTACCCTCTTTGCCAGAAGCCATCAAATGTCACTGGCTTTTCAGTTAGCAGTTGGGGCTTGTGAGTCCCCTCCTTACTCCATGCTTGAATACTGAGAGACTTGTTCCTGAGCAGGTCTTGTGCAGGCAACCATAGGTTCTTTGAGCCCTGTCATGCCCAGAAGAAACTGTTTGGCTCAGGTCCATTACTTCTAGCTCTTATAAGCTATTGTCTGTTGTTGCTAGAGTTTCTTGTTCTGCCAGGTCCCACTGCCCTTCTCAGCCCCAAATAAGCACATAGAGACTTATATTAATTATAAAATTGTTGGTAGGACTTCTTATTGGCTAGCCCTGTCTTAATTATTAACCCATATCTATAAATCTATGTATTTCCACATGGTCTTGGCTTATTGGAGAAGGGTCCAGACCTGTTACTCCTTCCTGGGCTACATGGTGTCTCTCTGAGGTCTCTCTCTGCCTACCTTTCCCAGAATTCGCCTTGTCTCCTAGTCCCACCAATCTTCCTGTCTCTATTGGCCAAACAGTGTTTTACTCATCAACCAATGAGAGAAACATATATACAGAAGGACATCCCCATCAGTCTGTCCTTCCATGATGATCCCTGAGCCTTGGGATGAGTGTGTGATATAAATGTCCCATTTGTGGTAGAGCACTCCAATGGCACTGATTTTTCTCCACTTTGGCCAGTTGTGTTTTTCTATGTTATTCACTGAAGAGGTCCAAAATCTGAAGTAATTTTTTGGTATACAGAAATGAATTTAGAGGTGTATTTGAGCCATTTGACAGAATAACTAGTAGATTCTTTCCAGGGGCATGTGCACTTCCAACCATTTGTTCTTGGGAAGATTTGCAGGACCAGGCATTCTTTCCTTCTTGTGGAGTCAGCCTAGGATTCATTCAGAAAGCAATTGTTTATCTCATAACATTCATATGGCTATTGCACTAATGAATGTACCTTGATAAGCTGGTGGCTGGTGACAGTTTCTTACCCCCAGCAGCTTACAGGACACTCTGAGCTACTGTGGAAGCTAGATATCAGGGAGGGGGCTTTCTAGTCAATAGCAATCTCCATGTCCTATGACCAATGTGTATGGGATCTTCAGCAATGAGTGTCACCAGCAAGTTTTAGTAGGCAACCAATGGTAATGAGCCTTTATTTTGGGGGGAGATCTCCAGGAGACCCCAACTAACAACTTGAAAAAGAGAAGTATTCCGTATTTGTTGTTGTGCTTTTTTTTTCTTTTTTCTTTTTCTCTTTTTGGTTTTCAAGACAGGGTTTCTCAGAGTGCTGGGATTAAAGGCTTGTGCCACCATCTGTTGGTGCTGGGCTTTTTATTTGGCAATCAGTGTTAACTCTAATTAAATTATTTTATATGAATCTGTGTATATAAATGAACCTTACAAAGAGTAGGTTCATTTAAAAATGAACATCCTTAGTATTATTCTAAAAATATGGAGTGTATCACAAATTTACTTGTCATCCTTATGGAAGTGCCATGTTAATCACTTCAGTGTTTGTGTGTGTATTGCTGAAGTGACAACACCTTTATTTTAATTTTAATTTTGTGGGAAGTTACAGGACATCTGGTGGGAGTCAGGTTTTCTCCTCCTACCGTGTGGGCACCAACCTCAGGTTGTCATGCTTGTTATCAAGTACCTCAGCCCTCTGTTATCTTCCCAACTCAAATTATGTCATTTAAAAATGCCAACCACTACATACTTGCCATTTATTTATTACTTTAATGTATTTTAAACAGGTGATATAAGTCAAAAAGAAAAAAATGTTATCACAGAAACCAGAAATAAAAAGCTAGAAGTACTAACAGTAAGTAAATTTTTATCCGTATTTGTTGCATATTGAAAGGTTTTCCTTCTAAGCATATATTAAAATCTATTCAAGCTTCCTAGGAAGGAAATAACATCATTTTAGTTCATCATTTTTTGCTGAATTAGTATATGTTACAAATCCGTGGTTTCAGATTAAACTTTAGGAACTTGGTAAAGGCAAAATTTACTTAAAATACACATGCATGTAGCAAAAATGACTCTAGGCAAATGTAAATCTGGCATTATTTAATACTGCTTAGAACATAAGACTATATTTGAAATTATTATACATGTGACAAACCGGGCAAGTTTCTTAACCTCAGAGCCTGTAGCAGATGGTAAATCTCCACCCAGAGAAGGCAAACCAGTTCAAACTAGCCAGAGCATAATCTCTGAATAATCCCCATAAATACACCAGAGAGGGCTGGATCTTGGATTCATAATGCACCATAGAAGAAGAAGGGGCATCTTAGTTTCATTCTTTTGCCTCCTGCCCACCCTGGACATTCCTACCAGAGTCCTGGCTGGCCATAGCCTTGTTTCACAGGCTGGCTGTCTCTCCATGTTCCACTCTCCCCCTTTTCCATAAGGAGGCTGATGCCACCTAATCTTCTGAATTAGTTTTCCAGTGTTTTCATAACAGAACACTACAGATTGTGGCCTAAATAACAGAGATTCTTTAATCAGAGTACTAAAGGTGAGATACTCATGTTTCTGCTGAGCCTGTTTGACTCTGAGGACACTGTTGTCTGTGACCTCATTTGCTCTTGGGATATTGATCATATTGGGCTAATATCCATAACTTCATTTTACTTCACTAGCTCTTTAAAGTATTTCCAAATGTAGTGGCATTCTGAGGTGCTGGAAAGTCAGGAAGCCAGTGTACAGATTTAGGAGGAAGGGCACACTGTGACATTTACCACACCACACACGATGCCCGGAAGAGAAGTGTCCAAGTTCATAGAGGTCCTGGCAGGCAGACCATCATGGGGGATATGGTTGAGAGGAGGTAAGACTAAGAGGAAGTTTTAGTTCCTAAACTGCTAACCTTCTGCAGATTAAAATGACAGGAGAATTTATAAGAAATCATGTTCTAGAATTAGTTCTGTTGATGTAATAAAATATCCTGACAAAAAGCCAACTAGCAGAAGAAAGAGTTTATCTTCTGCACACCCTGATCCATCACTGTAGCGGCTGGAGCTTGAAGCAGCTGGGCACATCACAGTCAGCAGCAGAGAGCAATAAATGCCAGTTTTCTCTACTCTTAACTGTCCAGAGCCCAAAACCAGAGAATGGTGCCACTCACTTTCAGGATGAGCCTTCCCACATCAAAAAACATATTTAAGTCACCCCTCCCAGACATGCTCATGGTCCAACCTGATCTAGATATCCCTCTATTGAGACTCTTTCCAGGTGACTCTAGGTTGTATAGAGTTGACGAAAATTAGAACTAACGATCACAAGTCATTTGCTTGAAGTATTGAACACATGACAAAAGTAATTTCATCAAGTTAGCTTTATTGATAATGTGAACATGATTTTTTTAAAGGAAACTACTGTATATGAGACTGTGTTTGATGGAGAAGCCATTGATCCAGGTATGATTCATCTGCATTTTTAAAATTAATTCCACCTCTTGGATTTAGACTCTCAACAATATGAATGGATTCATATTCACTACACTTTGCAAGATAAATATGGTGGAGAAAGCCTAGGGCTAAGAAAGAATCAGATAAAAAATCAATTGGATCATCAATGACATTTAATGCTTGGGGGATATCACCCTTACTCAGTCCCATCAAATTATAGCCATTTGGAGATAGGCCAGGAATTTAAAAATCCATGAGCCAAAAGGAACTGGACACCTACCTTATTCTATACAAAATAAGCATCTTTTAAATATAAATAACATGTATAATTAATTCTGTTTAAGATAAATAAAATACAATTTTCATTCCTGGTTATATGTTTCTGGGTGCCAAACAGCCCCAAAGGTTACTAGCTTAGGATAATAACCATCTTATTATAACTTATACTTTAGTGTGTCAGGAATGTGATTACCTATTGGCTGGGCAGTTCTTTATCTTTATGTGAAATAAGTGACGTCCCTCTAGTACTGGCAGCTTGTCTGATGTAGTGGATTCAAAGTGGTTGTACTCACAGCTTGACATCATGGAAATACATTTGCAGGTTGGGTGTAGTTGGGTCCTTTGGCCTCTTCATGCAGTTTCTCTGTAAGAATTAGCTGGCACTGGTCATGGTGGCTTGGATCTCTAGATGGAGTTCCAGGGAACTTGTCACCTTTTGAGACCCAGGCTTGGAAATCACAGGGCATCACTTCTGCTGGTTTGTTGGGCCACCAGATTCTAAGCAAGTGGCATTTCAAACCCTTTTAAGGGTCAGGCTCAAATACTGTCTTAGCTATCTTTATCAGCTTCCATATCTATAGGCCTGATGGGTAATAGATTCACAACTGTTATATATTATGAATCCTGGAGTTGTAAAGCAGACCATATTTTCATTTTGTAAAATGCTGTACAAGATTTTCTTTTCCATGCAGTTTGGAATGGTTAGAGGCTTAAGACAAGCCACAGATCTGGAATTAGAAGGCCCAGTCTTTGAAATCAATGTGATGGACACATTTCCATGTGGTCTTGGAGGAAGCATTTAACATTCCAGAGTCTCTCTTTTCACAGCTGAAAAGTGGATGTATGCAAGCTTTGCCTGTCTCATAGCGGTTACTGTGTAATTTTTTTTGAAGCTTGTTTTTTTTCCATTCATTTATTTAGCTCATAAAGTCATGCACAATTATGATACACAATACAGTATGTTCACAATGGCATGGCTAAATTAAACCAATTAACATGTTATATCACACATATTCATC